TGTGTGTTTGCCAAAATGCAGGTTTTTTTTTTGTTTTTTTTTTTCCCCTAAGTAACTCAACTATTCCCTTTCTTTGTCTCTTTTATTGTTTTGTTTGTGGTCAGAGCCTCAGAGGTGTTTGTTTTTGTTGTCGCCGCCGCTGTAGATGCGAACGCCCACCAACACCACGGACATTCCAAACACAGGCCCAGTAGAGGCTCAGAAAAGCCTTGACGCAGGCCCCCGGTAGAGGCTCAGAAGAGGCTCGACACACCACCTTGAATTGAGGGAGTAGAAAAGAATTGCCGCGGTGGGAGACTGGTGGTGCAAACCACCAGTACTTCCGAGGCACTTATCACCGGGGCTGGAAACGGCCTGCGTGCCAAAAAAAAAAAAGAACTGGTGTGGGTCGCCTCTTGGCTGGGGGCGTGGCCCTACCAGGCTACCAGCCATTTTGTTGGCCAAGCCCCAAACGTCGAGGCTTTATACACGCTACGTAATGGATTTCATAGCAGGGAAACGTACTGGTGGTTTTAAGCCAGCAGTACCTTTCTCAGGCAATGGAGGCCGATAAATTTGTTCCCATCCTCCTCAAGTTTCGGGAGAACAGTGCTACCGGACTGAAATAGCTGGTGGCCCCAGCCCGAAAAGAAAAACGGAAAGAAAACGCACCCATGGCGGTTGTGTTTTGTTTGGTGCGCACATGCGCGCAGTGGAAATCTGTGGTGGGAAAAAGAGGCTCAGAGATGGCGGTGGTTAAACCACAAGTACTTGGCCCCCATATATCGGTCGTGGGCCCTCGTCGTATATGCACCGCAATTTACATCAATGGCCTGCGCTGGTTGGCTTGTTTTTCGGTGCGCAGAGCAACCCCACGGTCGGAAAAAAGTGCCTAGGAAGTACTGCACTGGTGGTTTAACAAAAAAAGAATGAAAAAAGAAAAAAAAAAGTAGAATAGAGTGAGAGAGAAGGAGAACCTAGGTAAGGGGAACCTGTTCCTGTCTCTGGGCCCAGAGACAGATCCCACTTTTACCTGAACCCAAGTGAGAAGGTAATAAAATATGACAGTGATCAAATTCACCAATGCGTTTGAAGTTTGAACCACCAGTACTTCCGAGAAGGAGAACCTAAGTAAGTGGAACCTGTCTCTGGGCCCAGAGCCATTGCTGCAGTGCCGTGAGGGGTTGTTCCAGATGAGTTGTGATCCATGTTTGCCGCCGGCCTGTCCATTCCGGTGTGTCCAGGCGCGTGCACGGCTGCACTTTGGGAAAGTACTGGTGGTTCAAGCCTTTGTGTTGGAGCACCCTTCTGCTGAGTTCTGGGGGCTTACAAACAGAGCTCACCCTGTTTATGTACTCCCCCCTCGGCAGCTACAAAGTTCGTTGCATATGGTGCGGGACAAGACTTTTTGTTCTGCAAAATAGGTCCTGTGGGGGATTGCAGTGGTGCACAACGGGCGGTGGGTCGGGCCATTCTACCTACCAGTGGAATAAGCTGTCTGCCTCCGCTAGGTATTAAACCTTGTACCCCACGGTTTTGGACATTCCAGAGTCCAGTGGAAATGAGGTTCAGCGAATTTGCTTCCTGCGCACAGCTTGATCAGGGTCCTTTTTTGTGGTTTGATCAGGGTCCTTTTTTCCATTTTCTGGGGTTTGAACAGGGTCCTCTTTTTCTTTTTTTTTGGTTTGATCAGGGTCCTTACAGTCTACCCTGGAGAAAATACTGGGACCATTATCCAGCTTCAGTTGAAGCGTCGGTACCGTGGACCCAAAATTGCAATTCCACTGGAATGAATCGAACTGGTCCTGTCCTTCGGGACATCCGTTCAAATTGGAAAGATACAGAAAAAGAAGATAAGCATGGCTGCTGTGCAAGGATGACAACACATAAGTCGAGAAATGGTCCCGAAACAAAAAAAAAAAAAGAAAACAAACAAACAAACAAACAAACAAACAAACAAACAAACAAACAAGAATCGAACCGGTTCCCACCAGGCCGGTACATTGACAGTGTGGCCTGCTCGTATATGGCGACAAGTTTGGAAGGAGGGTGCTTGGATTGGTGGTTTAGCGAGAAATCCGGATTTGGGGGAACACCGTAACACGCGCCAGCCTGCTACATGGTTCTTGAGTACCTGCTTACAACTGGGGTCACCGTCCCTCTCATATAAGTCAGGTTTGTGTACATCATCCTAGAAACTGCATTTGGACCTCATGAAAGCCTCGTGTACATCCTCCTAGGTACTGTATGCAGACCTCATAAGTCTTCTGTACATCATCCCCCTAGGTGCTGTACCGAGATCCTTTTTAATGGATTGTTTCTGGATTTGGATTGTGCGGTCCTTCATGGCGCAGTGGTCAATCTTAATATTTTCTGTGTCATTCCGATGTCAACGGATGCCCTGAAGGACCCTTTTCCACCTCGGTATGTGGTTCGTCAAGTAATTCCCTATCAGAGAGAGAGAGAGAGAGAGAGAGAGAGAGAGAGAGAGATGATAGTCTCTGTTAGACTTTTTGTAAGACTGCTCCCCACCATTTCCATATCCTGTCTTTCTTTCTTTCCTTTTTTTTTCGCAGATATCAGCCCCTCTTTTTTCTCGCTTGTGAACCCTGCCATATTTGGCTGGCTGGAATATGCATCCAGGTTATGGGGGGGCTGATATCTGGGTGGAAGCACTGCCAAATGATTGGCAAAAAATCATTTAAAAATGCCAAATATCCATATCCTGTCTTCCATATTCCAGGCAGTCAAAACAGGCCACGTTACTGGCCATGGTACATGCCATTTTGTAGTCCGTCGTCGACTGCTCAGACTAGACAAGCAAGCTGCCAAAGGGGGGGGGGGGAAACAAGGAAGCTGTCCAATGGTACACATTATACAGTCAGCCCCTCTGATATCCGCCTGTGCCGTATGGTAGGTATTATACAGTCAAGCCTTGCGATATCCGCCAGCGTGGATGAGGGGGGCCCAGCCCACGAGTTGGTTGCAGAGGCTGGGTCTGCACGTCGGCCCGGTAGGCCACAGACATTGCCTACGGGGACTGGGCTGAGCCTGGACGCGGCCTTCCCAGCGAGCACAATAGAACGAAGGCCACTTAGCCAGGGACATTTTGGCAGATGGTGCTGGCGGGAGCGCTGATGCGTTGAGAGGAGAGAGCGCCCGTGAGAAAGCTGTTGCGGCGGCAGCAAGGAAGCAGGAGCGCCAGCCATAGCTGGCTGGGCGCTGACACTGCTGACTGGTGGAGGTATGGAGGTTGGCAGTAGAAGGAAGGGAGGCAGTGGGACGACGACACTTGCCTGGCATTGATGAGGGTGGCCGGTATGCGCAGCGCCTTCAAGCAGCATCGGCTAATGACACGTGAACAGAGTGCTTCATGTCGACAGGCAAGACTATAGGGGCTAGGAAGCAGGAAGGGCGTGCAGGACGCCGATAGGAGTACTACGTTGCTGTTGTTTTGATGATTGGAGGGTGTGAAAGTGCTGTGTTTGTCGAGAGACTTCGGTGGATTGTTCACTCCCATTTGGTGGTGTGCAGTTCGGTTTGATTTTCTGCTTTCAACTCGCGGCTCAGTTATGCTTGGTCTTCTGAGAGATGTTGCAATCTGGTTTATTAGTGTTTTTTTTTTTTTTTTTTTTGTGAAAAGAAAGGTTTATTGGTACTCTCATTGCATGGTTCCTTTCAAATCTGTGTAGTTGGAAGTCTTGGGACCTTGTCCCAGGATTTGAAATTCAAACTCAGGCTTACTCAGCCAATCAAAGCCAAAACAGTTAATATATACATCTGCGGTTTGAACATCAAAACGGGTTCAAACTTCGAACTTCAAAAAATAGATTTCAAGTTTGTTCATTGGAGGAGGAAATATTACCTAAACAGCGCCTTTGCTTTGTTTTCCTCCAGCTACTGCGATGTTTCACTTTATCGGGATCTCTGTTAGGGTGTAGTTGCACTAGCACTTCACTAATGTATGTGGCCGCAATTACAGCCATCCCTGGATGCATCTGACCGCAATCATGTCCACAGGTCAGTCGAAAAAGTATGTCCCCTTCACTGGACGAATTGGACAGCAATTTAAGGTCAGATTCTTGCCAAAAAGTCCTCGTGTGAGTGTGCCCTCATCCGCCCATGAATACAGCGGCAGTACAAGGATCTACACCGTCCGAGAATCTGCCAGGGGTGAGGTCGCACTAGCAAAGAGGACTGGATTAAGCTCCTGAATCTGAACACGTTTTCAGCGAAGATGCAGAAAATCAGTTCAACCTCGATTTTATGCACCCCCTTTCCATAAACACGTCCAGATTTAGGCATTCAATCTGATCATCTTTGCTAGTGGGTCCTCCCTCTAGGTTTGTGCCTGTCAAACAGATTGTAGCAGGCTGCCATCAAATATCTGCATTTACAAAAAAATGAAAAAGAAAAAATATTTAAAATAATTGATTAATAATAATAATAATAATAATAGTAATAATAATAATAATGCAAACAACTTGAAACAAGTTGAATTAAAATTAAAAATAGAACATGAGGTACAGTGCACAGGCCTGCTCAGTCAATCCCCTGGGTCCCAGGGCAATCAATGCTGGCAGGCCCCACCATTACTGTTCTCAGACATTCTCAGTCCTTGTTGTACATGGGACGCTGGACCCGCTTTTCAGCAGGTGAAGCTCCCCACCAATAGATGGAGTCTCTCTTGGGGGCTAGGGGTGATTGCTCTTATCAACACCCCTAGCATGCTAGCACCCACAAGGGATGTTTAAAATAGTCGGTGAAACTCCGACGAAACAGTTTGTCACAGCCCCTCGTTTGTTGTCCTCTTCTCTCTCTCTGCCTACGGTTTACCGGGCAGTTCTATTTGTGACGATATATATATATATGTTTGTGACGATATATAAGACAGTCTGTCTGTCTCTGTATTTTCCACGACGAGGCACTCTGAACTTGGGTCTGCTTCTTCTGCTGCTGTTGCTATGATTGGGCTTGGGCTTGGGATTGGGATTGGGGTGTGCTGGCTGATATCAATGAAGGGCAATTTGTCACAAGAAGCAAATGAAAAGGGAAGTGAAGGAAATGGAGCCAGCTTGGCTTCAGGCAGCAGTGCAGCAGAGGATCTCTTCAAGGATGGTGGTAATGTTGTCTCTTTGTCCAGAACTGACATGGAGGCACTGGCCAACAACAAGAGTGGACGCACAGAGAGCACGCTCGCTGTGCTTTATGCACCGTGGTGCCAGTTTTGCAAGGTAGGTGGTCCCCTTCCCTCCCCTCCTCCCTTCAACCCTCAATCCTGTTATTCCCCCACCCCCAACCCCCAACCCCCCACCCCCAACCCCCACCCCCACCCCCACCCAACTCATGTCCTCTTTCGTCCCCGCATGCAAATTCCAATGTTTGCATACATGCATTGAATAGCAGCAAGCTCCCAGCAACACATTTATGATTTAACTGAATCGAAACTCCTTTCTCCGGAAATTAAATTACAAAGATTGGTAAGGCAAGGAGATCCTTTGGACCCTTTTCTGTTTCTTATCATAATGGAAGCTCTAGGGGCCAATCTCCGAACTAATCATAATTTGAAACGTTTGCAGATTTCAGGTATCCCAGAAGATGCCCTTAGCTCAATGTTTGCTGATGATCTCACAATAATGTTAGAAGCGTCTTGGTCAAACATGGAGGAAATCCAAAGCCTCGTGAGTTAATTCACACAAGTCTCTTACATGGTGGTTAACTGGGGCAACAAAACTCAAGGGTGGTGGAATCATTCCAATGGTGACCGTCCTCCGGAGCTTCCAAGAATTCAAGGGTTACCCTTAGAAGCCCCAATACGCATCTTAGGAGTGTCACTTACAATATCAGGTAAACCTGCTACCCATGAAGAATGGATTTGCAAACTAGCATTAGAAAAAATGAATCAATGGAAAAATCAACACACTTACATTTTTGGAAGGGCACTCATTATTAACAATGTGGTCCTAGCTTCCATCTGGTATAAATCAGCCCTCTGGTCTATAAGCCCAGCACGAACTAAAGCCCTTCAACAACAAGTCACAACATTCTTATGGGGAAGGAATCATGAGTAGGACTAGGTAATTCCAAGGGTGGCTTGGCTTTCTATGATCCAACCAAAAACAAGGAGGGGTCTAGGAATCATGGATCCTATGCTTCAATATCAAGCATTATCCATCCAATGGATGAAAAAATTGATCTTATCCACTGACAAACCATGGCAGGGAATGATGTTGGAACATATTTGTAGGCTCGCCCCCTTAGCTGATGAAAGTATCCACCCTCTCACATGGATTGAGGATCAGTTTTGGTTCATCCCAAGGGCTCAGACACACTCTACAGAAGAAGGGGATCGAGGTAGAGCTAGAAGTGATCTTATTCTGGGTAATTCGTGGGTAACAATAATGAAATATTGGCGTCGCCTACCATTACCTAACAAACCTTTTCCTGACCGTTATGAGGAGATACTTCTTCAGCCGCTTGTTGGCAATCGATGGATCAGGATGCAAACGGTTGCATCTACAACAATTCAACCCCCCGCTGATCTCACTGGGTCAAAAAAGGAATTAGCAGAATTAAAGACTTATGGAACCCAAGCTCGAAAGACTGGAAGAGGACGGAACAATTGAGACATACACTTCAATATGCTCACTATCTCAATCAGAACCTAGATCAGATTATTTTTCCTATACCCTTGGCTTGGGTAAGAACTCTAAGAAAGGAGGGAGATTGGGTGGTGGGGTTCCAGCCAGATGGTTAGGGGATGGTGGGGCAAGTGGTGCACAATCTCCCACAAGGCTCTCTAATTATATCTTCAAAATGAACAGAGATCATTTTTTGACTTGGTTTCCTTTAGATCTAGTTTGTTTTTTTTCCTTTTTCATACCTCTATCGAGTTGGTCTTTTTTATCTTCGCTATAAAGGGATGGAGAGTCTCTCATCCAGAGCTTCCTATCCCAAAACTCCCGATAGATCTGGCAGAATGGGTTTAACAAACTAGCATGAGGGGCAGGCCAATGACCCTACATTCATTCACTCACGGTGAAAGCGGCTTACAAACTGCTACGACCAAAGGTGGACATTGCAGCAATTTTGCAAGTTGGATTTAGACATAAATTTATTCAAAAACATTTTTTTTTCTTCTTAAATATAAGACAAAGACCAGCTAAATTCGCCTCATTACAGTGGCAATTTGCACATCGTTGTCTCACCACAAATAATTGGATTGCACATGGTGAGAACTAACGGATCTAGACTGGCCTTGGGATTGGAGGGCCATCCTCTTAGGACACTGGGTTCCACAGGACCTAGAGCTATCCAATTTTCAACTGAACTTTTTGAAATCGGTAGGAAAGTGGTTTTATGGACACTATGGTATAAGAGGTGTGTTTTTGTAGGTGAAGAAGTAAATTCGGAAGGGCCAGAGATGATTGAACAAATTGTTCAATTTGTACAAACAGAGATCAGAGCCCAATGGGTGGCTGTTACATCCAAACTACATAATTGTCAACAAAAAGAAACCATCCAAAAGACAATCCAGACTTCACTATGGACTGGCTGGGGGGTACCGGGGAAAGGAGCCTGGGGGAGATGATATGGCCACGAGAAGGGGGGAGGGAGGAATCCTTCAAAAGGGGCTTCCACCTTATCTTCAAGGATTGGTTTATACTTCATATAGGAGCTACACTCAGAGCTCCAATCTTTTTTGCAGATCCATTTCCCCCTTCCGAGCTTGCCCTTGTAGAAATACAATGTTTTGGATTGGAGGGGAGTTGACAAATTTTGGATAATCTTATGAGGGGCAAGGGTAGCTAGCGTTGAATGTTATTCCTAGTGGTCCCTAAGGGACTGAAGAGGCAATTGTGGCTCCTTGGTTAACTATGCTCATCCTTGAATATTATCATGGGACGTTGGACCCGATTTCCAGCACGTGATGTTCCCCACTAATAGATGGGAGCCACCTACGAATATAGCTAGGGGTACATGCTCTTATCATTACCCCTAGCTGTGTTTCATAGGTGTTATAATAAAAAAAAAGAAAAAAAATCTTCATTCTACATTGATCCCAACACAAGAAGCTCTCACACGACCGTCATAAATGTGAAAGGCATAGGTACGGCAGCCAGAGCAGCCACATGAAGTGAGCTACATAATGCGAATACCCCTCTATCCAAAAGTTGACCTAATGTCCCTGGAGCCTGATCCGCCTGACCCTTCCTCCATTTTTGCGGTCTCCCTCTCTACATCCACCCCTCAGCATGCGGATGCCCGTTCGACATCCCAGGTTCCTCTGTCGTGGTGAGTCCACACATACATCTCATGTTGACGCAGATACTGATGAACTCGCGCAGTTCACGACCGACTTAAAGTTAGCCATTCATGACCGGATTCAAGAGTACCGCGATGTCTTTCCCTAGTATTTCTCATACAACGAAATCCCTTCAATGCATGGTGTTGAGCATTTTGTCCAGTTCGTGCCTGACTATCGTGTCCACCACCAGGCACCCTACCGACTCTCGATTCCAAAGATGACGAAACTTAAGTGTCAGCTTGAGGAACTTTTTCGACTAGGTTTCATTAAACACGGTAACTCCCCCTAGGGTGCACCCGTCCTCTTTGCTCGCAAAGCGGATAAAACTCTCCGCCTTTGCATTGATTACCGCGGCCTTAACCGTTACACGGTTAATAACAGTTATCCCATGCCTCGTGCGGACGAGTTGTTTGATCGTCTGTCAGGCAACCGCTTCTTTACGAAGATTGATCTTCGTAGTGGTTACCACCAGATCCTCGTTGCTACAGATGACCAGCCGAAGATCGCTTTTAGATCGTGCTTTGGCCACTATGAGTTCCCAGTGATGCCATTTGGTCTCACCAACGCACCTGCTACATTCCAAACGATGGTGAACGATATGTTCATGAACATCCTTGAAGAGTACGTTCTCGTGTACCTGGACGACATCTTGGTCTATAGTCGTACCTCAGAAGAATTTCTCAGACACCTTCGCGACTTTCTACAGCGCTTACGAAAGCATGACTTTTATGTCAAGCTTAGTAAATGTCGGTTTGCCCAACGGAAAGTGAACTTCTTAGGACACCATGTGTTTGACCATGGGCTCCACATAAACTACATGAAGATCACTGTTATTGCGGAGTTGTCTGTCCCCACATCTGCCAAGCAGCTTCGCAATTTTATGGGATTCATGAGTTTCCACAGTAATTTCATTTGAGGATACACCAACTATTACAGTAATTTCATTTGAGGATACACCAACTATTCTTACGTCTGTACCTCCACCCTCCTTCGGAAGAACCCGCCATGGTTTTGGACACCCCTTTGTGAGGATGCTTTTTGCACTCTAAAAAAGGCGGTGACTTGTATGTCGGTTCTCTTCGGCTCTCCGATTTTGATCGTCCCTTCATAGGCACCATTGACGCGCCAGATTTTGCTACAGGAGTTGTATTTTCTCAAACGTTTCTCACTCCTCCTGATTCACCTTATCCTCATGTCCCTCACTTTCCCCCCCTAGTTGCTGACACTGCTTCTCGATTGATGCTTATCCTTCCACCACTTCCATCTACTGACAGTCCACCCGTTACTTACTCTCTGACCATTGCGGAGGATAGGACTGTCGAGCCTTGTGTTGGGGATTGCCCGATTGTTTTTTACACCTTTTACTTACTGCCCGCTGAGATAAACTACTCTGCCGACGAACCTGGGGTTCTCGTAGTAGTTTCAACGAACGTGAGGTTCTCGTTGTAGTTTATGTTATCCGACATTGGCCTCATTACCTCCACAGGGCGCCTTTCACGTTGCACATGGACAACTCTGTTGTCCCGACTTTCCTCACGAAGCCCAATGTTTTTCCTCGACATACACGTTGGTAATGTGATTTATCCAAGTTCAGTTTCACCACTCAGCCTATCAAAGGTGAAACGAATCGTGCCACCAATGCCTTGTCCCATCGTCCTGACCACAATCATGAACCCATCCATCTTGTTGCTATCTCTGTCACCACCATTGATCAATTGGTGTTCGACACATATCGCACTCAGTATCGCCACTATTCGAATTATGGCGACATCCAAGCGACACTGCAGAGTGGCACGACCGTTCCTTCATACTCCCTGGGTGATAACGGTCTCGTGTGGTATAGTAGATTTGGTCAGCTAGAACTACGTATTTGTGTTCCGTCCACTACACAACTCCGTATCCAAGCCGTAGTCGAGTTCTATGACTAGGCAGCTATCGGCTATATGGGTATCCACAAAACGTTGGCCCATGTTTGTCGCCTATACATCTGGCCCAATAACAGGGAATTTGTCACGAGCTATGTCCAAGAGTGTCCTACCTGCCAGGAGGTGAACAATGTAAACCACCTTTCGTATGGGTTACTCCAACCTCTACCCATACTTGAGTGTCGTTGTCAGTCCATCTCGATGATTTGTTGGTCCCTTCCGCCCTCTCATTGTCATGATGCTATATTGGTCGCCGTCGATCGCTTCAAGAAGCCTACACGTTTTGTCCCGTGCCGCTGCCGCATTAGCGCTTGTGAGGTCGCCGACATCGTCTTCGACCGAGTCGTGAGAGATCACGACTTACCTCAGAACATCATCTCTCGACCGTAACGCGCACTTTACCAGCATATTTTGGTGACGCCTACAAGAGGTGTACGGATCCCAACTCCACTTATAGTCATCTTACCACCGTCAGATGGATGGTGAGACTAAGGTCACCAATAAAACTCTCGGTAATATCATCCGAAAGTTTATTAGGGATAATCAGCAGTAGGGCTTACACTTAGCCCACGTGGAGGTTGTGTATAACCGCGCTGTTTCGCCAGCCACGGGGATGTCGCCATTCTATTGCGACCTCGACTACTCACGTACTCGTAGACTTCGACTGTCGCGGTGCACCCAGACACTCGTTGTCTTGCGCTTGACGCTTGGATCGCACTCATGGCGGCGACCATGAGGCGCGCACATGAGAGTCTAGCCGTGTCCCAAACTCGCATGGCAACACGAGCAAACCGATCGCGAATGGATCATTCATTCAAAGTCGGTGACGATGTGCTCGTCGACGCACGAAGCGGATATACTTCGCAAGTTTAGGTGTCGCTTGTTCGGTCCATGCCGGATCCTTCAGGCTGTTAGTTCTAATATTGTCGCTAGTCCGGTCAGCTTCCGTGTGAAGCTACCTAACTACCTTCGGCAGACTCACGCACACAATGTTTACCACATCCCCTTGCTACATCCTTATTGTAGACTGTCTGAGTGATTTGCCGAACGCTCTTACGAGCGCCCTCCACCTATCATGGTGAACGATCACGAGGAGTTTGTCGTTTCCGACATCGTATCTCGCCCAGCTACCGATGATAGCCCTCCACGCGCCGAGCATCTTGTGCGTTGGAAGGGTTGTCCTGATAAGGAGGCAACTTGGAAGCCCCTCGAGCACTTGGGGCCCGCGCGGATGTCGGTGCGTGCATATGATCGTGCTCATCGTGCTGAGACATATGCTCCTACTCATCCGACTGACCCTCTTCCTCCTCTGGCTGAGGAGATTGTTGAGGACGAGCCCACTCTCCTTGAGGTCGTTCTTCAGCAGCAAACAGACGCCTCCGCACGTCCACAGTGCACTCGTCAACGCCTTCGGCGCCTCAACAACTGACACGCTCATCACCTATGTATCTTCCCACTGACTCATACCTTCAGGTACTTTATCTTCAGCTTCTTCAGGATGTCAACGCTTTGCGGCTCTGCTTCAACATCGACTCGACTTTTACTTCACATCAATGTCATCGACCACCTCGACGACTTCAGCTACCTTCTCTTCAGCTACTTTAATAGCTTCAACTACTTTGGACGTTATTACTTCGAACCACCACCCTACCTTGTGCATTCCTTTGTATGTGCCGCATGATGGTTCTTACTTGGTTAGTTCTCCCTAAGTTGGGCTCTCTCTTGGTATCACATAGGCATTGGGACCGTAGCGTTATCTTGGCTACCCTGCTCCCAGATCTGGATCCCTCCCTAGTCGATGAGTCGTGTGCATATTTCCCTCACCCACTACCCTCATCACCCTAGTGTCGAGCATTGCATGCCTTCAGTTAGGCATATCTCCACCTTATTTCAGACTCCCCTTTCATGGTCAACCCTGCACGGTGTCACCCTTCTGTCGAGCATTACCCGCCTTGATGGTCTATCTGTTAGGGTCATTGGTTTTGTTTCGCTACCACTCTCTTGCTCTGAGCCTGATGACCTATCCCATCTTTTGGTGGGATTGCTCTTAGCAGTTTCGGTTCTTAGGCTGCATTCACCCCCTCTTAGACCATCCCACTCTTAGTGCTTCAGCGACACGACATTATTTTGTGACATATTGCTATCCTTTCCTTTCAGCGCTGAGGCAGTTGCCTCTAAGACTTTATAATTGTACCCTGCTGCATTTCATTTTCTGCTGTTTCAGCGCTGAGGCAGTTGCCTCTAAGACTTTATAATTGTACCCTGCTGCATTTCATTTTCTGCTGTTAACTAGAATGTGTATATCAGACATTTGTTTTTGCTCTTACAATATATACCTTACGCTGCATCACATGGACTCCGCATCCTAGATTTCTCAGCTTTATTGTTGCAGAGTTCCGCTGCTTTTGCTGAAGCGTGTTTATGGGTCTTGCGATCCACTGCAGGTCTGAGGATCGTGCAGCGTGCCTCTGGCTGCCCTGGTCTAGAGCTAGGGCTATCTGGCTATTTTGCCTGTTCAGCCTCTGGGACCAGGCCGTGGCCTGACCCCACAGGCCGTGTGCTCATACCAGGGTCAGTCCAGTCCTGCGTGGTACCACTGTCGGTACCAGGACAGTCCAGTCCAGTCCAATCAATCCGCTGGGGGTATACTCCAGTTGCAGTCCGGTTTCAGTCTCATTATTCATTTGCACGGTTTGGAGCACGTGCATGTTGAGTCTTCGTTGGAGCTGCGCTGTCCCTTCCAGTTCCATCTTCATCTCCATATCCATCTCCCTCATCCCCTCGTCTTGATCCTGGCGGACCGCCATCCCGGCGGGTCCGTCACACTTTCACAGCCAAAAAATACACTCCGGTGTCCAGACACACTGCTGGCACTGAAGGCACAACATGGTGGCATAATGACGGCCCCAGAGACACGACACAGTTGCATCTATATTATTACAGTGCTCTTTTTCTTTCGGCTAAGGTGAGCCAAAAGTGAGTAGAAACACGGGTGCTGCTATTAGCGCCCGTGTTGGTGGAAAGTGGCCATAAAGAAAGAGAGGTATTTAAAACAGCCATTGGTTGCTGCTGGCTTGAATGAGCAGAAGATCTTCTGGCCATAAAGAAAGAGGTATTTAAACACAGTCATTTTTTTGGGTCTTTCATCCACAAACTTTTCTTTCTCCATGGCCATCAGTGCCGCGCATAGGCATTGACTGGTGACGGGCACTGACGGCCATAAAAAAGAAAAGTTTGTGGATGAAAGACCCAAAAAACAGAAAAAAGAAAAAAGAAGTTGCACCTGTTTCCAGCAGGTGCTGCTCCCCACCAGTAGACAGGAGCCAAGGTCATGGGCTCCTACCGGGGGTTACTCACACCACCTCCAATAGATTCCCATGCCTTTGTTGAAAACAAAAAGGGAAAGGAAAAAAAAAAAAAAAAAAAAAAAGAGAACTGAGTTCACTGACTGAACTCCAGAAAAGTTGTTGTTCTTTTCGGGTTATCCTCAAATGCTTGCCGATTGACAATTGTCCTTTTTTTTCTGGAATTTAGCGCTGACCCTTCTGGCCTGCTGCGTGACACTTGAAATTATGTTGATGATTGCCCGACGCAGGGGATGGAGCCAGCGTACGTGGAACTAGCAAATCAATTGGCTGGGACATCAGTAAAGGTAGGGCTGGGTTTGCATGTTCACGGTTTGCCAAACGTTGAACACCAGGCTTCCTCCTCCCTCGGCGCTCTGACCTTAAACCTCAAACGCTCTTGCTTCTCTGTACCCTTTCCTCGTCTCCTAACTATTTGATGTCGAATGATGATGATGATGATCGATGATAATAATGACGAGAGTATCACGTTGGGTTGAATGACAGATAAGAGAGAGAGAG